ATATTTTCAGAGTTAGAAAGTCTTTAACTAAGACTGTACACCCCAAAATTATAAGTAAAAAAAGGAAGGATTTGACTATAAATGTAAGTATGAAAATTTCTTTGCAAAAGTTACTATAAACTAAGTTAAAGCAAACTGTCACAACCTGCACCATTATTCAAGAACTGGCGAGGGGCAATGGGGGATTAAGAGAAACACACAAAYATTTAGAGAGAAAAGCTGGATCAGGTGGGAAATGGAACTCTGATTGAGAACAGTGACCCAGAGCTAGCTCCACATGTTTATTATATAGGTTTTATCATCAAAAGGTTATTCGTGAGAAAGTTTCTGCAAAGCAGCAGGCTTGAAGGTCACAGTGCAGATGAGACAATTTTGTTTGTCTTACTATGTTCAGAATCTTCTATCTCTAGGAGTCAATGTCTTCATTTCAAGGTCATAATTGATAACCCTGAGCAATTGCCCAGAGCAACCAAGGGCTGGAGTCACCATAGCAACTGGGAAATGTTAACCCTGTACTTTTGCTCAGGGAAATCACAGTGCAAGAACACCAAAACAACCAGGCCATCAGACATCTAGATCCACATCACTGCTCCCCACAGCAAACCACATTTTAGGAGAAAATATTTACAACATTCATAGGTGATAAATCTAAATGTTATGACAAAAATCCATAAAGATTCATAATGTTAAATGGATCTTTAAAAATGAGTAAGAAAATATGAAATAACTAAATGAGGAAAAGATAAAAGGACATGAATAGAAAATTGATAGAATAAATACAAACTGCCAGAAGAAGTATGACAAGAAATTCAGCCTAGCTGTTAGTCAAAGAAATGGAAGTTAGAAAAATGATAGGCATGGGTTTTTCTTCTTTGTCAGTTTTTCAAAACTTCAGAATATTGATAGCAAACACAATTAGTGTTGGCAAGGATGTGGAKAAACATGCATTATTACACCAAGTTGGTAGGAAGATTTTTATTTTTAGTTTTTAGTTTTTGGTACTGGGGGTTGAACCCAGGGCCCTTTACCACTGAGCTAGATCCCCAACCAAACCCTTTTTATTTTTTTATTTGGAGGTAAGGCCTCACAAAATTGCTAAGGCTGGCCCTGAACTTGTGATTCTCCTGCCTCAGACTCCAGAGYTGCTGAGATTAAAAGTGTGTGCATGGCCCTCGGCCCTTGGTAGGAATTTTATTGCTACAAACCTTTGGGAAGAAATCTAATAAAAATTATTTTAAAATAAATACATATAAACTTTGATGGGCTGGGGATGTGGCTCAAGCGGTAGCGCGCTCGCCTGGCATGCGTGCGGCCCGGGTTCGATCCTCAGCACCACATACCAACAAAGATGTTGTGTCCGCCGAGAACTAAAAAATAAATATTAAAAATTCTCTCTCTCTCTCTCTCTCTCTCTCTCTCTCTCTCTCTCTCTCTCTCTCTCTCTCTCTCTCTCTCTCTCTCTCTCTCTCTCTCTCTCTCTCTCTCTCTCCCCTCTCTCTCACTCTCTCTTTAAAAAAATACATATAAACTTTGACCCACAATCCCACATTTTTAAAATACTATCTTCAGAAGGAGATACTCTGGGGGATAATTATTTATGTCTGAGGATGATAATTTCTTAACTTTCACAATTATAATAATTGGAAATAGCCTGGGAGTTGATTACCTTCTGATGAGGCCTGGAGATTAGCACCAGCTGACTACTGGCTGTTGTATTGCTAGGGCCTTGTTCAAACCTGAGACCCTTGCTTGCTCTCTCTCTCTTCAGCCCCCAGCTTAGCTTTCATGTTTTGTCTTCTCTTCCACTACTCTTGATGGCAGAGGAAACCAGGGCCAGTTAGCTCATGACATATCACTCAGCTCTGCTGAGGAAATGAATAATAAAGTGTTCTCCCAGATAATTAAGTTAATCACATGCATAGATAAGAATGTCTCAAAGGTAGGTATAAGAAAAATTTGTATTAGAATCACCTAGACTGTGCATTAAAAATGAAAACCATGGGCTTCACCCCAAACCTCTTCAAWCAGAATCACCCAAGATGAGATCTTAGGATGTGCAATTTACCAGGTAATTCTTGCAAACCCTAAAATTTGAGAATTGATAAGAAGAAAAGTCTAGGAAAAATATGCACCAAAATATCAATGATAGTGGTCTATACATGGTGGAAATTCAAAGAACTTATGCTTTCTTCCTGTGCTTTGATGTATTATTTGAGTATTAAACAACAAACATGTACTATTTTTGCATGGGGGGCAAGAAACAAAAAATAATATTCTGAAAGGAAATAAGCAGTAGTTGCAAGTCAGTTACTTGCAACTTATAGTATGCTGGTTATGTGTCAGCCTTTTCAGCTGGAGAACCTCCTGCCTTTCAYGTTTCTCTCACTCAAGAAAGCATACTGACATATCACTCATTGTGGTTGGGAATTTTCAAATAAAAACTTTAACATTATTGATTGCTTATTTTAGGTTTTCAAACTTGGTTCCTCTGATTCAGCAGATATTGATGATAATGTTTTTCTGAATGAGTTAGAGAAAATTGAAAAATGTCCACAAATTCCAAGTAAGTATTTTTATTAAATTCATGAAGTTGATTAATAATACAGAAGACATATTTTAAACTGATATGAACTATTTTATATCTTTAAATATATTTTTGCCTAGTGCTATTTGGCTTGCACAATTTATTATTTCCTCTTGCGTTTATTTAAATTTTGTGTGTATCACCATATATTATAGTATATATTATTATTATATAGAAATACTAAGGCTTAAATAGTTCTTCATTTTATAAATGACCATTGGTCCTTCACAAAAACCAAGTAGATATTAATGGCAAAAATAAATAATGATGTGAAAAACAGCAGGGCCTCTGAAGTGGGACTCCAAACAATTGCTATATTCCCAGGCAAAATCACGTAGCCCTCTGCAAATCTGTCTAAAATGAATGCACACCTTATATGTACTAGCCACTTTGCTCTGTGTCAGTGTGACAGAATGTATATTTGACATGATCCCTACTCCAAAGGAGCTGACAGTCTACAAGAGGATCCCCAAACATTGTTTTCCCCACTCCAATTGAACCTCATACCAACACATCCACTGTTGGTACATTTATGATCCAGACTTTAAAAGAGACTTCTGCTGCTACTTCTACTTCATCAAGTATTTGTATGTCATTTTCGGTAGGATATAATGATTGGAGCATAATAAGTTTTCTTTATGGGGTTTTAGGACAATACTTAGGGCAGGTATTTCAGTCAGCCAGAGCCTATTTAAGCACTGATGGCTATATGGATCCTAGTTCACCCTCTGATTCTTTGGGGATATTTCAATATCTTAGGTGATCTATTTTCCATCTGTATGGTGACATATTCACACTTCCCTTATTCTGACCAATGGATTTTCTAAAATTGTAGAAACTGTGTTGGCTATGGAATGCCTAATATCATTGCATAACTGTCACAGATTTTATGCCATTTTTTTKSMAAAAAAAAGTAGAATATGACCACATTATATGAAGCTTTTTTAAAAAATTGTGCCAGTATAGTAGAAACTATTTTTTACCAAGCTATTTTTGGTGCAAGATTAGGATGCATGAAATACTCATGAACATACATTAATTCAGTTGTATTGATTATACAGTGAAATATAGTGTATTCTATGATCTGAGGTTTATATCCCAAATTCATGTAATTCCTAACCCTCAAGTTAATGCTATTAGGAGGTGGGGCTTCTGGGAAATGATTAGGTCATGAAGGCTCTGTCCTCATGTTTGAAATTAGTGCGCTTATTTAAAAAAAAAAAAAAGGCCACTTAATGGGGCCACAAAGAGGACACAAAGAGGAAAACAAAAAAGACACAAAGAGGAAAAAGCACCCTTCTGTGAACCAAGAGGATGGCTCTCACCAGACACTGAATATGCTGGCATCTTGATATTGGACTTCCAAACCTCCAGAGCCATAAGAAATAAATTTATGTTATTTATTTTT